TGTGGTCTGTTCACAGGCCCCTTCTCCTGATCACCCTACAAAAACAGAACTGCTGCATGTCACAAACCACAAAGCAAACTGCTTAGTCAGCAATTCACAACTTCCAAGCTGGAGGGCTTGTTTTTCTCATACTGATAAGCTAAGTAATATGCTGTGAGAAGTAGCAAGAATGCACAAGTTTTTTTTTAAGGCGGAGGAGACTCCTGGCAGCTGCATTATCGAGCTACTGTCACCTTTTAACACAGGCAAATGGTCAAAAAGTGGGAAGGGCTAGGGTAAGAATTTAACTTTAAAGAGTTATATTTATTTTTTCCTGACAGCTCTCCAAGAATGTTTTCCTTATATAATGTTCTAATTTTAATTCAGGGACAATGTAAGGAGGGGAGCAGGTGGGAATCAGATTTAGCACCTGTATGCTAAATGTTAGCATACGGGGAATTTACATTTTTCTTTACAGACAGATTTCTCTTATATAAAGTTCATCCTTCCGTTTCTAAATAATGAGACTGCATTCCCATCACATAATCACTTTAATTTCTAGGACAGATGTTTCATATGATAAAAATCCCTGTTATAGAAAACATATTAAGGTAGTCCTCGACAGCTCATTTAGTGGCAATCTGAAATTACAACAGCACTGAAAAATGTGACTTATGACTGTTTTTCACACTTGTGACTATTGCAGCATCCCCGTGGTCACGTGATCAAAATTCAGACACTTTGCAATTGACTCATATTTATGACGGATGCAGTGTCCTGAGGTCATGTGATCACATTTTGCAACTTTTTGAGAAGGAATGTCAATGGGGAAGACAGATCCAGTTAACAACCATGTTCCTATTTTAACAACTGTGATGAGCCACTTTTTAAATGAGACAAAATTCACTTAACAAAAGTCTTACCTAGCAACAGAAATTTTGGGCTCAATTGTGACTGTAAACCGAGGAACAAGAAGCAACAGATGGAAACTAAGCAAGGAGAGAAGCAACCTAGAACTAAGGAGAAACTTCCTGACAGTTAGAACAATTAACCAGTGGAACAACCTGCCTCCAGAAGCGGTGAATGCTCCAACACTGAAAGTTTTTAAGAAGAGACTGGACACCCATTTGTCCGAAATGGTATAGGGTTTCCTGCCTGAGCAGGGGGTTGGACTCGATGACCTCCAAGGTCCCTTCCAACTTTATTATTATTACCTGTAATATATTTTCAGGTGGAGGAAAAGACTGAATCAGAAACCCTTCCTTCTCTCAACCAGAGGTTCTAGCTAAATTATTATTAAAACATTCTACTGTCCATATGATATATCCTGCACTTGGAACTAACTCACGGAATCCCTTAAAGCAGTGGTTCTCAACCTGTGGGTTGGGACCCCATTTGGGGTCGAACGACCATTTCACGGGGGTCTCCAAACAACGCAGTCCGCCATTTTTTTCCCCCTTTTCCTTAGCTGTGCTACTCCCTTTTATTCTATTGGCTTTTGAAAGCCAATAGAATAGACTCTCTTGAATAGAGTCTACTTCTATTGGCTTTCAAAAGCCAATAGGAATTGTCCAGGCTGTCTCTGCCCTGCTGAGCCCGCCAAAAGTCCCATTCTGCAAACGGTGCTGCACCAGTTGAGTAGTCCTCGACTTATGACCGGTTGAGTAGTCCTCGACTTATGACCGGTTGGGGGTCGCGGCATTAAAAAGGTTGAGAACCACTGCCTTAAAGAGTTACTCCTAAGTGTAAAGGATGGGAGGGGTTTCTTTTTTGGAAGAAAAATTAAGATAGGTATAACATGCAAACATTCACTCCAGTGTATGAAAATGACTGATAGGTGGGAGATTACCTATTCTTATTTTTTTTTAATAGGAAAGCCACATATTGTCTCTGCGCTGCCTCAAAATGGACAGAAGGTGAACAGGGTTTCCACCATCATCAAGAACATAAATATGAATTATGTTTCAAAGGAAAGTTCTATGTAAACAAATAAAGTGATCCGCTAAGTCAGTGTTTCCCAAACTTGACAATTTTAAGGCATGTGGACTTCAACTCCCAGAATTCCACAGCCAGCATTGCTGGCTGTGGAATTCTGGGAGTTGAAGTCCTCATGCCTTAAAATTGTCAAGTTTGGGAAACACTGCGCTACGTAACCAATATGAAAAACAAAGCCACTGAATTCTAGTCTAGACAAACACCAAGGATTATTGCCCAACTTGTTTGGAGTCTTCCGGTCGATCCCTCTCTGAAAATATTCAGACATAGCAAAATGCAGGGACTGCAGTAAACAATCAGATGATCATTTTTATGAGGCATAAACCTCCCCGCCCCAAAGCACACATTCTCTATTAAAGGACTGTTTCCAATTAATTCCACCAATCTCAGCACCCTGATGAGGTCCCATCTATGAACATACATCAAAAGCCAAAGTTAAAAAAGCACCAGTCCTTCTTTACAGGTAGTTCTCAACTTACGACCCCAATTGTGCCCAAAATTTCCATTGTTAAGCAAGGCAGTTGTTAAGTGACTTTTGGCCTATTTTACCTGCTTTTTTTCAGCAGTTAAATGAATCACTGTAGATGTTAAGTGTATCATGCAGTCATTAAGTGAATCTGGCTTCATCCATTGACTTTGCTTCTCAAAAGCCAATTGGGAAGGTAAACAAATGGTGATCACATGACCCCGGGACAGTGCAACCGTCATAAAGACATGCCAGTTGCCAAGCCTCTTTATTTTCATCATGCCACCATAGCTGCAATGGTCACAAGTGTGAAAACGGGTCCTAAGTTACTTTTTTTGGTGTTGTCGTAACTTCAAACGGTCACTAAACAAATAGCAGTAAGTTGAGGACTATCTGTATCATAACTGGTAAAATTTATCAGAACAATTCAAAAACACATTACAAACCACAGGGCATTCTAAGAAAAATACAGATAATAAACACAACACAGATTCCAAAGCATTGACATTACAGTATTTCATGTCTGGGATGGGCAGGACGGTTGTAAATTAGCCCTTTAGGGTGCTACAGGATGTATCCTCAGCTCCTAAATTGGCCTTCCTGCACCAGTGCCCTCCAGATGTGTTGAGCAATGGCTCTTAAAAAATGGCAGTCGGTTGGGTAGAAATCGCAAAACCTTTCCCAGACCAGGACATCTGGGGGTGTCATACAGGCACAAGTCTCACATTCTCCAATAAACTGTAAAGAATCAAATGAGAGGAGTTTTCTGGAGGAAGTTTTAAAAATCATGAAGAAAGGGTATCAAAGTTGGCCAACTTTAGAAGTGGGGATAAGCTTTTGAGGAGCCAATACAGTAGAACACGGGTAGTCCTCAACTTACGCCCAAAATTTCCTTTGTTAAGTGAGACATGTCTTAACTGAGTGCAGTTGCCCCATTTTTACAACCTCTCTTTGCCACAGTGAATGACTGCAGTTGTTAAGTTAGTAACACCGTTGTTAAGTGAATCTGGCTTCCCAAATGATTTTGCTTGTCAGAAGGTCACAAAAGGGGATCATGTGACCCTGGGACACTGCAACTGTCATAAATATGAGTCAGTTGCCAAGCATCTCTGAATTTTGATCATGGGACCATGGAGATGCTGCAACAGCCATTAAGTCTGATAAATGGTCATAAATAACTTTTCTCGGTGCTGTTGTAACTTTGAACAGTCACTAAACAAATGGTTATAAGTTGAAGACTGCCTCTATTTGTAGCTCAGGGTTGAAATGAAGAGGGTTTGGAGTGGAGTGGAGAGAAAAAGTCCAAGGAAGCTGAGATGCAATAGTGAAATAGTTGGGTGGAATATGGGCAGAAGAGAAATCCCTGGGAAGCAAATGTGAAAAGCAAAGAGGAGTAAATCATGCAGCAACGGGCTGGGATGAAGCCAGTTATTCTGATGGGTGCAAATCATTTTTCAGAACAGAAAACAAGAGGTATTTCCAAGAGGCCAATCCCACTGCAAAAAAAAAAAAAAAACCCCAGAAAGAAAACAAAATTCCACCGAAGGCTGAAAGGTCCCAAGGTGACTTAAAAACAACAACATGTGAATGGGAGAAGCTCCCAGATGCAAAAAAAAAAAGGGTGCAGAGACAAGCAAAAGGCACAGATTACAGCGGTGTCATTTTCCAGGAACACTGAAACAACAGAATTCAAAGAAAAAGGACTCTTGGTGGAATATTAATTCTGCCATGAATTGACTGGGTGCAGGATAAACAAGGCCCATATTGGGGAGGGGGGGGCGGAGACAGGGGATGTATCTTTCAAATTTCTTTATACAATAAAAAAAAGCTGCCCATACTACCAGCTGTCAGATGGAGGGATCCAATTCTTCACAGGGGGGCAACAAACAAACAAATGGGGTGGGGGAAACCAGAGATAGGAGGGGGGCATTGCAATTCTCCCTAGAAGGTGTGCAAAGCTGAGGGGGGGCTAACCAATTCTTCAAATGGGGGTGCAAACCAAAGGGGTGGGGGAAACCAAAGAGATAGGCGTGGGGGGCATGCAATTCTCCCTGAGTGTGTAAAGCTGGGGGGGGCAACCAATTCTTCAAAGGGGGGTGCAAACCAAAGGGGTGGGGGAAACCAAAGAGATAGGCGGGGTGTGTGTGTGCAATTCTCCCTAGGTGTGAAAAGCTGAGAGGGGCTAACCAATTCTTCAGATGGGGGTGCAAACCAAAGGGGTGGGGGAAACCAAAAAGATAGGAGGGGGGTGCAATTCTTCCCAAAAGGGATGCAAAGCCACGGGGGCTAAGTCAGCAGATCGGGGGCACTTGCAAGTCCGAGGTCGATAATGATGATGATGGTTTGGGGAAAGTTGGGGGTGCAAAAGAGGCAGGGGGCAACGGCCGTGTGGGGGGGAAGGTAAGACACCCTCCCTGCTTTCTTCTCCCCCCCCTTGTCTAAAAGGGGGGGCAAAATTCCAGCGTGTCCTCTTCCCCCCCCCCCAACATCCGAGTCTCCCATCCCAGCCGGAGAGGCAGGCAGGCAGGCAGGCAGGCGAGGCGGGCCGGGCCTTCCTCACCTTGTAATAGACGTCGAATTGGATGTTCTCCGGCAAGGAGCGGATGTCTCTCCGGCGCGCCCGGCCGTAGCTGTCGACCACGGCCGAGATGGCGGTGTTGTAGAGCGTCTCGGGCACCCACTCCAGCTCCACCGCCGCCATCTTGCCTGGCTCGGGCGGCCGCCCAGACCAAGCGGGCGGGCGGGCGGGCAGGCAGGCCTCAACTGCCTTCGCACGGCCACCGCTATCCCCGCCACTCGGGCCTAGTCGCTCCGCCCAGCCGCCGCCGCGACTCTCCGCCTGCCTTCCCCGCGCTTTGCCTCACCCGCCTCCCCGGCCGGGCTGAGGCGAGGAGAGGCGGGAGCCGCTGGGGGCGCCCTCGCTGAGCAGGAGGAGGAGGAGGAGGAGGAAGGAAGAGGCGGCCGCCGCGGCCTGGCAAGGACCCGCCGCCCGCGTGAGGGGCGAGTCCGCGCCGCGCTTCCCCCCCCCCCCTCACAGCGCCTGAGGAAAAGCCGCGCGGAGGCCGGCCTCGCCCGGCGCGCGCAGGCCGCGGCGGCGTCTGGAGTGGGGGGGGGTTGGGGGCGGGGTTTGCGGAGGGCCCTCTAAATAAAATAGGAGGGGCGACTTGCCCCCCCTCCTCTCCGCACGCGCGGCCTCGGAGGGGCCGGCCACGCCCCTCCCCGCAAGGGAAGGAGGCGCGCGCACCCTCCACTTAGCGGAGGGGGATGTCGGAATGGGGGGGCCGAGGGGAGGAGGTTGCTGTTGGAACAGCCGTGCAATTTCTCCTCTTCCCCGCTTTTCCTCCTCCGTCCGGGCTTTTGGGGTTGTGGGTCATCCTTTAGGGCAGGCTAAACGGGTGGGGGGGGGGTGTTGGTTTGTTAAGTTTGGGGGCTCGGGTTGCCCGGGAGAGGAGGTGGGAGGGAAATGGATGGAGACACGTGTTTGTGTTTAGGCTTGTGGGAAAGCCCTACTGGTATGTGTGGGAAAGAAGGGGGTTTGGCGGTCATAAGCATTTCTGTGGGGTTTTGTTTTGTTTTCAAAAATGGGCAGCTGGGAGCCTTTCTCCCCCCCCCCATTGTGTTTTTTGGATTTAAATGCAGATTTAAATGGGATTGCTTTAATAAGGCAATGAGGGGTGGTCTCTGCGCTTGGTTGTTTTGCAGAGGCTGCATTCTCCGAACTAGGCGCTCTAGCAAATTGATGATGTTACCTACTTGGGCGATGAAAGTTTTGCGAGGAAAGAACCCAGCTCAGAGAGCACCAAGGATCCCACAGTCCTTCCTGCTCCTCCTTGCTGCAATCCCCACTCCTTCTAGCACTGATGATGTTACTTAGTTTATTTATTTATTTATGAGACTTATGAATGAAATTCAATGGTGAAAAAAGCAAGGTTCTACATTTAGGCAAGAAAAACCAAATGCACAAGTACAGCATAGGTGGCACCATGCTCAATAGTAGTAACTGTGAGAGGGACCTCGGAGTCCTAGTAGACAATCACTTAAATATGAGCCAGCAGTGTGCTGCAGCTGCCAAAAAGGCCAACACATTGCTAGGCTGCATTAACAGAGGGATAGAATCAAGATCACGTGAAGTATTAATACCACTTTACAATGCCTTGGTAAGGCCACACTTGGAATACTGCATCCAGTTTTGGTCACCACGATGTAAAAAAGATGTTGAGACTCTAGAAAGAGTACAGAGAAGAGCAACAAAGATGATTAGGGGACTGGAGGCTAAAACATATAAGGAACGGTTGCGAGAATTGGGTATGTCTAGTTTAACGAAGAGAAGGACAAGGGGGGACATGATAGCAGTATTCCAATATCTCAGGGGCTGCCATAAAGAAGAGGGAATTAAGCTATTTTCCAAAGCACCTGAAGGCAGGACAAGAAGCAACGGGTGGAAACTAATCAAGGAGAGAAGCAACCTAGAACTAAGGAGAAACTTCCTGACAGTGAGAACAATTAATCAGTGGAACAGCTTGCCTCCAGAAGCAGTAAATGCTCCAACACTGGAAGTTTTTAAGAAGAGACTGGACAGCCATTTGTCCGAAATAGCGTAGGGTTTCCTGCCCGAGCAGGGGGTTGGACTAGATGACCTCCAAGGTCCCTTCCAACTTTACTACTATTACTATTACTATATACCGCTTTAAGTGCAAGCACTCTCTAAGCGGTGTACACCAGTAAGCAATGTATATATATATTTACATTGCCCCCAACAATCTGGGTCCTCATTTTACCTACCCCGGAAGGATGGAAGGCTGAGTCAACCTTGAGCCGGTGACATTTGAGCCGCTGACCTGCTGAACACAGTCAGCTAAAGTGGCCTGCAGTACTGCAGTACTGCACTCTAATTGCTGCACCACCTGGGCTCATTGTTGGGTAATGAAACATCTGCAAGAAAACATCCAAGCTCAGAGAGCACCTGGGACTCCATAGTTCAGTGGTGACGAACCTATGGCACGCGTGCCAGAGGTGGCACTCAGAACTCTCTCTGTGGGCACGCGCACCATGCCCAAGAGATGGCAACTCCCTCTTCAACCAGCCGCCCGCTAACTCACCCACATGGCTGGCTGAATCCCAGCATGGCTGTTTTCCCTCCCCCTGTCCCATCCCTCCTGGCCTTGCATGCTCTCCTTTTCCCAGCATGACCCACTGCATTGCCTCCTCAGCTGTCGGCATCTGTCCAGCTCAGAGGCAGCTTCTCTGAACTGTTGGCGGGCTGCGGAGCCCCAGAGTGCGCTGGTTGAGGGGTCGGCAGGCTGTGGCTGCTGACAGACACTGTCGGCCCCCATGTGCTCGCTGGCCTCTATGTGCGGGGGCTGATGGTGTCAGGCAGCAGCCGCCCCAGCCCCTGCCTTGCCTTACCCTGCAACAATGGCACCCCCGCCCTGCCTCGCCTCACCCCGCGAGATGAGCCTCCTGTCCACCACCCCACCTGCCAGAGACCCCCTGGATCTCCCCCAACCCTGCCTGGCCCCTACAGGCGTCCCTCCCCACGAGCAACATCGAGGTGATCACGCCCACCTTGGCCACATCTACCCAGTCTGCCATGACCACCATAGCCATGCCCATCCAGTGGGCCCCACCCACCTGGCCCCCGGCGATAAATAAATGGGTTTTGGGTTGCAGTTTGGGCACTTGGTTTCTAAAAGGTTCGCCATCACTGCCATAGTTCAAACCTGAGATAGAAATATTCTCCTCGCTGCAAACATCTCTCTCTTGTAGCACTGATAATGTTACCTAATTGGGTCATGAAACGTCTGCAAGAGAACTGCCAAACTCAGAGAGCACCAAGGACCCCTCTTTTCAGTTCTCAGCTACAAATATTATCCTCTTCCTCCTCCAGAATAGAATAGAATAGGAATGGAATTGGAATTGGAATTGGAATGGAATAATGAAAGAACGGAATAGAATAGAATAGAATAGAATAGAATAGAATAGAATAGAATAGAATAGAATAGAATAGAATAGAATAGAATAGAATAGAATAGAATAGAATAGAATAGGAATGGAATGGAATGGAATAATGAAAGAACGGAATAGAATAGAATAGAATAGAATAATAACATTATTAATAGTCACTTTAAATGTACACTAATCAGCATACATTAAAATGAGATTTCATTGCATATAGCTCTCAAAGGGTAACTACCTCCAATATACACTGCATAAACATGACAAAAAAAATACAATAAATTACACATATACCCATGTACACACAAATATGTGGCCCAGAGAAACAACACAGTCTAGTTCGGATGTATACATATATATATGCCGAGAAAAATGAATCTTGCAAGTTTACCAGATGGAAAGTCTGCAAGCATAAAGTTCGTGTCTGGCTTAAAAGCTTTGGCTGATTCTGACTGCAGGTACAATTTTGATCCTGCCTCCTTGTTGAGCAAGTTTTTGTGTTAATCTGTCATGTTCCGTAAACATAGGTACAGCATTTAATAGGCCTGTCTCTAAGGATTTTAGCCTCAGGTACCCATTCTGTAAATAATTTCCTATGACTAAGTGCCATTGGGCATAGCACAGCTTACTACTGGTGTAATTAGTGGGTTTGTACAGTTATAACTTTGACAATACAAGTAGTTAGATTTATAAGTTGCAAATAGATTTTAAAAATGGAAAAAGCTTAATTTTGATGGTTTTCACTGTTTTTTTATGTTACTGCATACACATGGGGAGGAATAGCTAGCAAATTGGCAAAAAAACAAAAGTGACAAAGAGTGGACCATTTCTGAGAAAATACTGTTTTCAGTTGTCTGAATCATTTAATTATATTGTCTGATTTGGCTCAAGGCAGGTCACAGTCAATAAAAAAAAATTAAGCAGGCAATGAAACCAACAAAAAAAAAAACAGGAAGTCCTTGCCTTACAACAGTTTATTTAGTGACTATTTGAAGTTACAACGTCACTGTTAATAGTGATGACTGCTTTTCATGTGATCAAAATTCAGATGCTGAGCAACTGACTCGTACTTATAGTTGCGGTATCCCGAGATCATGTGATCACTTTTGCAATCTTCTGCCAAGCAAAGTCAATGGGGAAGCCAGATTCACTTAACAAACAGGTTACTAACTTAACAACTGCAGTGATTTGCTTAACAATCGTGACAAGGTCGTAAAATGGGGCAAAACTCACTTAACAACTGTCCCACTTAGCAACAGATGTTTTGGACTCAACTGTGATCGTAAGTTGAGGACTACCTGTAAATTAAATATAATACAAATTTTGAAGGATCTGATACAAGTGAAGGTATCTTTTTGCCTAACATTCTGACTTCTGCACATGCCACGTGAAATGAAATAAATATATTTAAAAGACCTATTTTTTGTCTTCTCTCTCTCTCTTTCTCTTGGGATAGCTTTCTCCCACATAGGGAATTAAAAAAAGAAAGAAAGCAGCTCAATATCCCCGCAATGATTTTCTTAGGGGAAAAAAAAATCTTTGCTTTATAAAGCAGTGGTTCTCAACATTTTTAATGCCGCAACCCCCAACCGGTCGTAAGTCGAGGACTACTCAACCGGTCGTAAGTCGAGGACTACTCAACTGGTGCAGCACCGTTTGCAGAATGGGACTTTTGGCGGGCTCAGCAGGGCAGAGACAGCCTGGACAATTCCTATTGGCTTTTGAAAGCCAATAGAATTAGACTCTATTCAAGAGAGTCTATTCTATTGGCTTTCAAAAGCCAATAGAATAAAAGGGAGTAGCACAGCTAAGGAAAAGGGGGGAAAAAATGGCGGACTGCGTTGTTTGGCGACCCCCGTGAAATGGTCGTTCGACCCCAAATGGGGTCCCGACCCACAGGTTGAGAACCACTGTTATAAAGGAAAAAGAAAATTGCCTCTTTGCAAAATACCTTTACACTTTTTAAGTCATTTTCAGTAAGTAAATAAATAAGCAAATCTAGCTTTGTGTATAGGAGAAAGTAAGATGCCAAAAAAATCTTGGAAGGTTGGTCCATTGGTCCAACCAGAATTAATTAGATAGATCAA